TTTAGGGTGTAGAGTTTAGGGAGCAGTAAGGTATAGGGTTTAGGATTTAGGATTTAGGGAGCAGTAGGGTTTAAGGTCTAGGGCTGAACCCTAAACCCTAAACCCTAAACCCTAAACCCTAAACCCATGTTTCCAGGAGGCTCGGGTGGACATGCCCATGCAAGAGGCTCATCGCGAGGCCGAAGATGGTCCAGCTTAGGACTTAGGGGTTTAGGGGCTTAGGATGTATAGGTTTGCCCTAACCCTCTAGGTACCTACTATAGAGAGTACGAGAGCCCCTAGGGCCCTATAGAGTAGGTACTTGGAGGGTTAGGGTTAGTGTTGAGGTGATAATTACAGGAGAGTTTAGGCTTTAGGGGTTTCGGGGTTTGGAGTTTGGGGTTTATGAATTACGGTTTTTGGGGTTCCGGGGTTCAGGGCAGGTTCTGGCTCCGCGGATGCACGGATCACATGTTTGGTGTTTTCTCCAAACCCTAAATCCCAACTGGGGCACATCGGCATAAATATTGTAGGGGCCTAAATAAATACCTGTACAATTTGGCGGGGGGTTCCTTATTATAGATATAGCCTAATATACCCCAAAACCCTGTTCTATTTGTTAAGGCCCCTACATTATCTGAAAAAGAGTTGTGTCATCGTCTTCGTGAGTCACACGTCGGAATCTGGTCACAGAGCCGCTGGACAAGAGAAGGGACCCCTGGGACCCCGCGAATGCCTTTAGGGTTTAGGGTTTAGGGTTTAGGGTTTAGGGATAGGGTTTAGGGATCGACCTCGATCTCACAGGAACCGTGTTCCCCTACATCTAGAACATTTTGAGGTGAGTAGATACCGTTATAGGAGCCTTATATAAGGTCTATATATACCTTATAGAAGCCTTATAGAAGCACTATATACCCTAAACTCCCCACCTGTAGTTTCCTTTAACTACAACCTAAATCTAGAAAATTATAGTAGTTTGAAGATCATCTCTTTCAGTTCCCGTCGTTGAAGCCCAGAGCCCTCTTCGCGCTCATCTTTCAGGCCCCGATATCACGCTGAACCCTGAACCGGCAGCCCCCTAAACCCAAAGCCCTGGACCCTAAAACCTAAACCCTAAACCCTGAACCCTAAACCCTAAAACCTAAACCCTGAACCCTAAACCCTGAACCCCAAGCCCTAAACCCTAGAACCTATACGCCCTCCTCTTCCAGGCAGGCATGAACGTCGACGGAAGCTTCGTTGGATTCGGCAACACCGTAACCTGTTCGCATCAGGCTTTAGAGGAATCTCGGGTTCTGGGAATAGGGTTTGGGGTGGGGACGTCGGGGGTTGAGGGATTCGGAGGTATGGGGTTTAGGGTTTAGGGTTTAGGGTTTAGGGTTTAGGGTTTAGGGTTTAGGGTTTAGGGTTTAGGGTTTAGGGTTTAGGGTTAGGGTTTAGGGTTTAGGATAGCCTTGAGATTCGGGCTCGAGACATGTACTGCCAACCAACAGCATCCTGGAATGAGCTCCCAGATGGTTGCAGAGCAACGTTTTCCGGAACGCCTAAGCCCTAAACCCTAAAACCCTACAACCCTAATCCCTAGAAGCAGTAGTAAAGCCCCAAACCCCAAACCCCAAACCCTCAAGCCCTATAGAAGACCCTAAACCCTAAAGCCCTAAAGCCCTGAACCTGCCGGGTTTCAGCTTTGCAGCCCTGGTTCAAAGCAGAACGCCGAGCGGCTTCGTTTAGGGCCAGGGCTTAGGGTTTAGGGTTTTGGTTTAGGGGTTTGGTTTTAGGGTTTGGGTATTAGGGTTTAGGTTAAATGGTTTCGAGTTTAGGGTTTAGGTTCGAGCAGTTTTTGCGGCAGGTAGCAACCCAGGGTCAGAGTCATGATGACGTCAGAAGCATGCAACCACATCCTGTATTTCGATGCTGCCAGTACCGCTGCTGCTGCTGCTGCTGCTGCTGCTGCTGCTGCTGCTGCTACTGCTACTACGACTAATAGTGCCACTACTACTGATACTGATACTGCTGGGATGACCAGATCCCTTCACGAGAACCCTTAAAGGAACCAACCCTTGCTTGGAGGATCAGGGGACTTAGCAAGTAAAGGTTCTAAGTGCCTTAATTGGGGCTTAGGGTTTAGGATTTAGGGTTTAGGGTCTTGAATAAAGAAAGACATGTATAGTTACCTGATTTGTAATCCTAGTTACTACGTGCCATGATCCTTTGAGTAGGAATTTCCAGATCCCTTGTAAGGAACTCCTCAACGGAACCCTTCAAAGGAACCCTCCGAAGGGACCCTATTAAACGAACCCTCTGAAGGACCCCCTAGCTAAACCCTAAACCCTAAACCCTAAACCCTAAACCCTGAACCCTGAACCCTAAACCCTAACCCCTAAACCCTATACCCTAAACCCGAACTTCAGGGAACCCTAAAAACCCTATCAGAGCCCCTGTTCCCGTCCCGAGGAGCGCGCGGGCATTGGCTTCCACAGCTCGGGGAGTCGATCGGACGCAAAGTTATGGATCATAATTTCGGGCGTTAGGGATCTAATCCTAGTGTTTTGAGGGCTTTAGGGCTTTAGGGCTTCAGGGAGTTTCGGGCGTTAGGGATTTAGTGTTTTGAGGGCTTTAGGGGTTTAGGGGTTTAGGGGTTTCGGGTTTTACGGGTTTCGGGTTTGGCGGTTCAGGTTTTAGAGGCTTTAGGGGCTTTAGGGGTTTAGGGGTTTCGGGTTTGGGGGTGTAGGGATCTCGGGGTTTAGTCCGGAGTCTTTGGCTTAGGGTTTCATCCCATAAATGCAGCGCGCACTTTGAACCGATTTGACCGACGTGGGTGTTGCCAGTTGGTAGGACAAGGGTTCTGCGAGCCTTAGCAGGTGCTGAGCTGATCCCCAACGTGCTTGATCCGAAGTCGCTGTCGAGACAAGCCACGGCCTCAAACAAGACTCCGAATAACGTCGTGATTGTGGTGTGACCGGTGTGTTGTCGGCGATGCGCGATTGTTGTCATTCGGTGCTATAAACAGTATAAAAAAACAAAACCACTCATGACAACAATAATACTAATGATACAAATCGTAAAACTAATAGTAATAAATCGGAGAGTAGTACTAGCAATCATAATCATAGTAACGACAGTAGTGCTGATGTTCATCTGCATGTTGCTATTGTGATGGTCGTTGCTTCCATGAGTCTTGGCATCACTGGCTTCAGGAGCGATCCGGGGTTTGACTGCAGCCTAACTGGACGAAAGCCTTGAACTACTACTACTACTACTACTACTACTACTACTACTACGCTACTACTACTACTACTACTACTACTACTAGGCTCCGACCTGGTCGTTTGCCCACCCTTCTTTCCTCCTGTACCCCTTTGCCAAACCAGGTTCGTCTTCCTCGTGGCCATGGCTTCATGCATACACGTATACCTACATA